CCTGCTGCCGGCCCCGCGCGCCCCCGCCTCCCCCGCAGCCTCAGATCCCGCCTGCCAGCGGCTGCCTTCAGCCTCGGGAAGCAGAAGGGTCTTCCTCCCCGGCCAAGCGGAGTTCCGCCCTGCCAAGCACCCTGCCCTCCCCTCCCCACTGTGGGGCAGAACACAGGAACAGGGTGTGCACCTCCTCTTTCCCCTCCATGCCTGGTAACAACATTTCCTCCTCTTCATCCTCATCCTCCTCAGCTTCTTCAGTGTCATCTTCATCATCTTCATTCTCTGCCTCCTCACTACTGTAACCATCCTCATTCCTGCAAGAAACAACATAGAGCACTAGGAATCACGTGGGACACCACCGGTGCCTCTGCAGACAGCTGGGTCCTCCGGCCCAGGCGCGGAGGATAAATTCACCCCACAGAAGAGCGAGATGACCGGGCAGGTTTCCCCCCGATGTCTCCAGACAGAGCAGCTGTTTTTGGCTACCACAGGGAGTGGAGGAACAGAACATGCAGCAGGACCAGGGCTGCCTGTTATGGCTGCTGCAGAGATGAGGATGTTTCCCTCCGAGCTGTCCAAACAGTCCCCAACACTCCTGTGAGTTGGTCTCTAAGTATCATCCTGAAAATCCTACTCCTAGGACAGACCTAGGATGAGCCAGAGACCTGCAGCTCCAGCACCACAGCAAGCACCACATTCCTGCCCAGCCCGAAGGCCATTCTTTCCAGTGCTGTTTCCTACCTCACTGTCTTCCTCCTCTTCCTCAACCTCATCTGACTCATCCTCACTGTCCTCAAAAAATTTGGATTTGCTTGTGCGCTGGGGCTTTCCCGTGGAGGAGCAGGAGGGCCCGGCCTCCCCGGTAGAAGAGGTGACGGCCTCGTCACCTTTGCCTACTTCAGGCTTCTGCAGAGCATGGCTGTGCCCTCCAGCGCTGGCTTTGTCGGAAGTGGAGGAAATGCCCACGACTTCTTCATCTGGCTTCCCATTCTTCCTCTCCTTGTGGTCGATGAGCTCCCCGGGGTCAGCCTCTCCGTTCATGTTTGCCTCCCCATCGTGCTGCTTGCCGGGCCCCTCGGCAGCGCTCTCCCCAGGCGGGGCTGAGGGCTTGGTTTTGAGGTTCTTGGAGCAGTTTTGTCCATAACGCGTGAGAAGCTCCTCAATGGTCATGGTGGCTTCTTCATGCAGAAGAGCAGCTTCCTCATTATCCACTGGAAATGGAAAGAGGGGCGGGGGAAGGCAGAGGATCAGAAGCAGGACACAGCTCGCGGCAGCTGGGCAGCGCTCTCCCCAGGCGGGGCTGAGGGCTTGGTTTTGAGGTTCTTGGAGCAGTTTTGTCCATAACGCGTGAGAAGCTCCTCAATGGTCATGGTGGCTTCTTCATGCAGAAGAGCAGCTTCCTCATTATCCACTGGAAATGGAAAGAGGGGCGGGGGAAGGCAGAGGATCAGAAGCAGGACACAGCTCGCGGCAGCTGCGCAGCCCGTGCTGGCGCCGCTGCCCAACACGTTCCCGCAGGGCCGGCCGCGGAGCTGCAGCCGGACAGGCCGCCCTGCCCCGTCCCCCAGCGCGCCCAGCCC